TTAAAACATGCTTATGTTAATTAAAATCTCATTCTTGATTAATATAGTACATGTAAAATAATTCTATAAAACATTTAATATCCACTTAAATAGAGAAGAAACTAACATTTGATGTTAACTGTTGATTTAATCAAGTTTATTTGATTTTAAAAATAAAACTTTTCCTTAATTTATGAGATAGAATATCTCAAAATTGTAAAATTGAAATTATATACAGCAACATGTAAGAAGATATCCATTCTTTAAATCTTAACTTGGCACATTCTACTATTTATGACTATGGACTATATTAAGTGTTAAAGTTATCTGGACTTTGAATTATGCAAGAATCTATCCAAAAACTATCATGCAAAAGTTTTATTGTGCATATTCAGGAGTCTCCAATGTATTTACAAGTTTCACTCCTAAAAACAAATTGATTCACTCAATATAAATAATATAGTTCTGAATTGGATGCTTGCTAACTTCTTGATCTATTAAAATTTGTCATTAATTTGAATGTTTGATAAATTCAGAATTTTTTAAACATGCTAATACATGAAATGATTGAAAGCAATCCACTTAATTACAGAATTAAATTTAAAAAATAATTTTATTTGTAATTTGAATCTAAAGTAATCTACTTCAAATATATATAAAATAAAGACTTTAAAATTTAATGTTAAAAAGTTTGAGGGCCTGAACCCTTGAGAACAGTAGCTCTGGGCCCTTCATAGCAGTAAGCTGGTGCCTACTACTCTGAAGGGCCCAAGATCAAATTAGTTGGGCAAGCAACCAAAAAATTTTTCATTGGTGGTCCTTCAAGGATATGCCAGGTCCCGTCTCTCACCACCTGGCCATTCCCACTGTGTGCCTGGCCAAATCCACAATTAAAATGGAAAAAAAAAGGCCCTCTTAAGTGCCAAAAAAAAAATATATAAAATAAAGATATATACAAAGTTGCAAAAACAATAATGGTGTACTACCACAGTTCACTCTTGTGTTACAATGGAACAGAGACAACTGAATACACTGAAAAGCAACAACACTACACTAGTTCACACTATAATCAGTGTTGCTGAACCATTGTCTCGCTGCACCAGAAGTGACACAAAGCACAACTCACGAAACCTATGACACAAAGCGTGCTATTTTCAAACTCTCACAAATTATTTTCAATATTTTGCATTAAAATCTCGCGACCCCAAGATTTCGCTAATCGATCCCAAATGGGGTCGCAACCCATAGTTTAAGAAGCCCTGATCTACAGAACAGTCCAATATTCAATCAATCATGTCAACTTTACCAAGTGGTTACTGAGGTGTATGGTATTTATAAATGATGCTAACAGTGAAGTATAGTAAACATCTACCTAATATTATTATTGAATACAAAATTAATTTGCCATTATTTAAATTGAAACTTAAATAATAAAGCATCCAAATACTTCTTTCTTCAAATAAACAAAACAAATTAACATTTTATTATAAAACAACAACAAACAAAAGAATGCTAGCAATACTTAAATGCCTTTTACTGCTTCCAAATAATTTTGATAATTTTTAAGTAAATGCTAATTTAGACTGTTAACAAACTATCAAAAACTATATGCATTGGATAGCCAGATGACTATGATGATTAAGGAGCCAGCCTAATGCTCTGGGGACCAATGGTAGAATCTGGCAGTCAATAAACCCCAGGAATTTTTTGGGAGATGGTCTGTCCCAGATATGCTGATTCTCACTCTTATCTCTCAGCTGTTGGCCTCACCAAAGCCATAATGAACATGGGAAAAAAAACCCTCTTAGTATAGCACCCATAAGTCAGAAGGAGTCAAATTTTTGGAATCTTGTAATGAGAAATTATCATCTTGGATAAAATAATACTATTTATGAATATATAGTTTGCATGTAATACTTAGTTTAATTTATAAAAGTCAACTATATATGCATAAAATATATTAATTAATATCCACTTGTACATTTTTATTTTACTATAGATTTATTAAAATGTTCAGTTTAAAATAAAATAATACAGGCATCCCTTGTCAACTGTGAGGATTACATTCCAGAAAAATGGCACAAGTCAGTACAATGACAGTGGTCAAAACAGAGGCTCTATGGGTGATGACAGGTTGGGAGAACAACAATGATGACACTGAATATATATTATAAAATAATAAATTTAATTTTACATCAACAATAAAGCAATACAACAAAAATTTCTGTAAACCATACTAAACGAAAAAAGATTACAATTCATTAATAATAATAAAAGCAAAGCATTACATAATAATATACTATTACAAATATGCTTTGTAATACGGAATAATCAACAGTGTTATAGGGGGGTCGACTTGTACTTTCATTAGGCATTTCTTGAAGACTAGATGGCCAAGGCAATTAAGACATCAGCCTATCACTCTGGGGACCAGAGATCAAATCCAGACAAACAACTTTTTAAGAATTTTTCATGAGCAACCTGTTCTGGATATGTTTGACTCAATCCCTCACTACCCAGACATCCAACTTCATACTTGCCAACCTTAGATTATAAACGAGGCTGACTTGATAGCTAGGAAAGGCTGATTTTGGAATGCAAAGGTTGAGAAATGTAACACAATTTCGACAAAACTTTTGGCACTTTTAAGCATTTATTTAATCTTCATTTTATTTATCACAATAATAGGTTTAATGTGATAAAATATTGGCTTTTCCTACTAAATAGACTATCAGTAGTAAAAAAAGTAGAACACAGAGTAATAGAACTATACATAATTAGTATTATATAAAAACTTCAGACACAGCTATAATTTAACAAACAGGGCATGAAACAACCAATTAAAGACACCAGATTTAGTGCCAAAAGCACTGAATTGGCAACACTGGGTATTTTTTAGGTTTATTTTTACTTCTTCTGCCCTGTGGGCACTAACAGGGCTTTTTTATCGAGCCTATCATGAATTCAGCCAGACTTACAATTGGATGTCCAGATGGTGAGGCATGGAGTTTGACATATCTGAAACGTATCACTCCCCAAAAAATTTCTGGAATTTTTCAACTCATCCACATTCATTCCTGGGTTTCCCAGAACAGTAGGTTCACACCTTAACCACTCAGCCATCCAATCATCATCAACACTAGGTATACTACAGCTGGCATTGAGAGAAAACAAATTGCTGCAAATATTTCAGATTAGTTTTCTCTTATCAAAGAGCAGACAATCTCATATATCTACCATGTTTCAAGACAAATTTTTGTGTATAATAATTTTTCACAATTTAATCAGAAATTTAAAGCATCTATTGAAATTTTCATATGTGTATGACAATATTTAACTCAAAGAAAATCTTAGAGAGTGGACTATTTCTAAAAAAACCTACTTTACAAGTGTAAAAACCACTATACAAGCGAACTTGAAATTTTTAGCATTGGTCATAAATCCATGATTGTGAAAACAATACATTAAAGGTTCTATGTTATCTCAAGATGATGGAGAATTTCTAGGTTGACACTACATTGAAAGGCAGATTCACAGCCTGGAAAACAGATGGTTGCAAATATGCCACTGTGGGTCTGGTTGAACCCATGGTGTGTACAGGGGAAAACGTTACTATCCACACAGCAGAAAACATAAAAAATAAACTCATTTCTTAATAAAAACTGTTATTTTAAAGATGTGGTTGATAAAGGATGCCTGTATATTAATTTTTAAGTATATGATCATATATTTTTCACTCAATAGCAATATTTTTTTTAATAATTTCAACATTAGTAATGAAATAAAAATTGGTAAAATGTAATATATCAATATTATAGAGTCTTGAGTTAATGCAGGAAGGAGATTTTTGAAACAAATCAAGAAAGTTAAATAATGCTATACTGAGATCTATATTGTATGTAAAATTATAGAGAGATTATATTTAAACTAATTCTATTATGGACAGTTTAACTATGGTATATACAACCTTTATCAATAACAGTCTATCTATTAAAATACAATCTAAACTACTCTATAAAATATTATAGATTTAATTTATGAAACCAATCAAACAAAGGATGTATTAAATTATATATAGATATATATGATAAATATAGAAATATACAATATATCAAAGATAAATATATAAGTACTTCAATAAACTTTGAGGAAGAAAACTCCAGATAATATTATCACAGAATTAAATATAATTGTATTTAACATTTCATTAATACCTCAACTTTATTAACAGAAACATCCAAAAATTGTAATTAAAAATATATATATATTTATCATTATCAATATAAATATTTGATTTATTAATAAAATGTAATTTTGATTTTATTCTTTTTTTAATTAGTCATTTCTATACTCAAACTGAGTAAAGAAGACATTTTTGAGATTAATTTAAGGGATTAATTTGGCTGTTATAAGTGAAATGTTGGTAACGATTAAATATTGGAAAAGCAAAATTAATGAATTGCCAATTAGTATATAATGAAAATTACTTATTCAAACAATTTTGAGATATTTATAAACATTAAAGTTCCTAAATATTTCTAATTTTTCTCTTATGTTTATCATCTCTATTTAAATAAAGATCATACTGCATTTATCTATTGAATATTATGGTACACAATCAACAGCTTCAAATTAAAAACAAATTTACCAGACAGAAAAATATTTACAAAATATTATGTTGAAATTCAATTTTCTTCTTTTATATTTTAAAAATCTTCTGCTTCTTATTTTAAATATTGTATAAAATTTTAAAAAATATAAAAATTTTTTTGATTTAAAATACTCAGACACAATCAACTTTGAGGAACAAGACATTGCAACTGCTAAAAATTCACAAATAAAGAAATTTATTTAACCTTCAAAACTTTTTCCATATGCATTTTGCCTTTAGTAAAGGCCTCATCAGTGGAATTCGTTCTGTACTAAAAGCAAAATGCATATGGAAAAAGTTTTGAAGGTTAAATAAATTTCTTTATTTGTGAATTTTTAGCAGTTGCAATGACTTGTTCCTCAAAGTTGGTTGTGTCTAAGTATTTTAACTTGAAGAAATTTTTATACTTTTATATTTAAAAAATTTTTCTTCTATACCAAATTTTATATAAAAAAGTAACCAACTCCATTTGAAAATTTTTAATTACTGAAAATATTACGTAAACGCTTGACAGTCTTTAATAAATGTCTTTCTGAATAGAATCAAATTACTCATCATATGCAAACATTTGGAACTTGGAAAAAATCAGAAAACCTAATAAGATGCAAATAAAAAATTTTTTAAAATTTCATTTAATTCAATTACAATATTCAGCAATTTTTATTTACTTTCCTAATGGAAAGTAAGTATTGAATATATTAAAATCTACAAAGATCTAACTAATCCACCTATGATTAGTGTTTACTCTATCAAACAAATAATTCATATTCATTACTTTTTCACTACTCAGAAGTAAAGAAACTAACAATTAACTAGTTTCTTTGCTCAACATAACAAAAAAAAACATGATTTATCTTAAAACGGCTATTTTCATCAATTACGTTTGTGTGTAATTTTTATAGACTTAAAAGTTCTGTGTAGACATCAATAATGCATACTACTTATTGAGAAACACTACTTCTGAAAGTAAATTTAATATATTATGTAAATATTTTTCTGTCATATTCAAATTCTGTTGTTATTGTTTGGACTGATATGAATAATTCAATTAGAATTTTAAACACAATATTTGCTACATAATAAATTAAAATAATGTTTTTGTCAATATTATTCTACTATTAATATGTTATACCAACATTTCACCATGTTAAGAATACTCTCAGTGCTCATTACTATAATGAGTATATAAATTTGTTAATTGTAACAAAATTTTTAATTATTATAATTTTTTTTTACCTTCATTTTATAAATGATCACAACAAGAATACAATTATATATCAAACTTAATGTTATCTTAACAAGTTAACAAAAGTGACATGTCATCACTGACTTCCTTCAACTAAACTGCTGTTTTCTGAAGAGTCTATTTTTGGGCAAATCAGATGCACCCAAATCCACCTCATTAACATTATGAGAAGAGGAATAGCACATATTAGGCAGATAAAGGCAACAACATACGAAACAATCTTTATTCCTGTCTCGGCACCATGCTTGTTTGGAAAATACGTGCAATCTTCAGATGCTGTAATTAAAAAATGGTAATAAAATGGTAATAAATTTAATTAATTAGAAATTTATAATAAAATTGAATTTTCTTTAATGTTAAAATCACTTTACATTTAATTTTAAAATAATTATTATAAGATTTGATATATTTTTTTTTATTGACTTGTCCTGTAAATGTTTTAAACAAAATGATAAAATATTTTATTTATAATTATATTTATTTATCTCTTTATCTGTTTCATTACATCATTTAACAAAAAATGATAAGTAAATATATTTTTATATATTTGTATAGAAATATAGAAATTTTTAACTCTTACTCTTAAAGATGGTTAGAAAAATTCTAGTTAATTCATCAAGTGCTCAAATTTAATTAAAACAACATAATACTTGTTCAAGAATCTTTGCCATAATAAAAAAAAATAATACTTTCCTTTATAGTCTATCATGAATATATACAATATCTATTAAAATGATATTACATGACACACACTAAACAGAATAGAATATTAAAAGCTGCAACCAATTGTTATTCAATTAAGCAATTATCCCAATTGTACTGGTGACATCTGTATCAATTTTCATATTGAATGATTATACTGTAATGTATTGAACTGTCAATACTGTTATATTTAATTATTTTAGTATGTCAAAAATGAGACAAATCATGAGGATGGTTTTTTCCAAGTTCCGATGATCCATAAAACAAAGACAAAAGTAAATAACAAAATGAACTTATTACCAAAAGTTAGGTACAAACATGGTTACTTTTCAACATAATCACCATGAAGATTGAGGAATTTGTCATATCTGTGGATGAGCTTTTCCATCCCCTTGTCATAGAATGTTGCTGCCAGTGAATTTAGATGGCCTTAACAATGTTGTTCTGAAGATCATCATTAGTCTCAAACCTCTGCCCTGCTAGCCACATTTTCAGTTCAGGAAAGAGGTTGAATTCTGAAAGGTGGAAGTCTTAACCACCTTTAAACTCCCAGCATATATCCCCGATTTAATGCCAAGTGACTTCCACCTCTTTCCTGAACAGGAAAAATGACTAGGAGGGCAGAGGTTCAAGACTAATGACGATCTTCAAAACAATGTTAGAGACCATCTTGAGTTATTGGCAGCAACATTCTATGACAAGGGGATGAAAAAGCTCATTCACAGATATGACAAATGCCTCAATCTTCACAGTGATTATGTCGAAAAGTAACTATGTTTGTACCTAACTTTTCGTAATAAATGCATTTTGTTATTTACACTTGTCTTTTTTTATGGACCATCAGAGCTTGAAAAAAAAAACAGTCTATGTATATGTAAAAAATTAGATATTAATATAAAATAATTTAAAGTATTAGTGTTTGCATAAATTTAGATATATAAAAACTCACATTTTACATTAAAAGATAAATTTTGTAAACAAAGATGTGACAAAGAGCACTCAAGGCAATTTAACTGAATAATTACTTAAAGAACATAGTGTTAGTTATATAATTTTGATATTTCTGAATTTAATAAAAATATATAAATGGTATATTTATTGTCTGAAAGAAAAGAAAAAATATATTATTAATTTTTTCAAAATTTCACCTGCACAACTATAGAACAAAACAATAATGAACAATTGACTTATTAGCTGTACTTGTTAAATAATTGTTAAAGTATCAATACAAAATAATAATTTCAATATCTGTAATAGAAATTTATGCTTCTTTATTTGCAAAGCTAATCATATAAAGTTTAAAATATGGATACTGTTACACAAAGATCATTTATAACTAAGTATTTACTCACTCCAACAATTTCAAAACAGCTCCTTTTTGAGAATGTTTCTTTAATGCAGTCATATAAATTAAATTTCAAATCTACTAGAAAGATAAATGGAAGAATTTTATACAATAATAATGTTACCTAAGTAAAATCAAGTGAATTTATTTTCTCTGATTACAAAAATAAAGATTCACTAATAAACAAACATTGGTTTCTTTCATATTTCAATATGTTAAACATTACAAAGATTTCCCCTATTATAATAAATACAAAATTTCATTACAGAGGGGTGAGAGATCAGTTTGCAATTTATTAATGTATGATAGCATGTCAACATCCATTAAAAAGTTTGTACAGAAATTATTGATAAAAGTATAAGAAATATTTTGGAATATTTTGAATTTACTAATGTGAGATTAGCCGGATATACTAATCCGTTAGGAAGTTAGTATCACTTAATCGGTGCTAGTTCATGAAACTAGTTCTCTAGGTTTCGGATCTTGTGATCCGATCCTATGTCAAGATTTTTGACCGGGAGGGCTTTTGTACTAGATCCAAATTAGAGGATTCGAATCTAAGTCAGGATGCTGACACCAGTTAATCACATTTATATTTCACGGATTAACATGCGAGTAGGGATCTGATTCAGGAAACAATCCAGAGACATGTCTTAAACAGTAAAGTAGTAAAATTTAATAAATCTAAAAATAACAATATTCTACAAAAAGGGAATTTGATAAACAATCAAATCAAACGATCAAGACGATGAATAGATTACTCGGACGCGTCAAGAGAGAAAGGTATTCTTAACCTATACATTTACGAGAGAGAGAGCTCACAATTTCTTAAATAACATACAACCTGTTAAAGGAGCTTTGTCGTCTTCTTATCGGTGAAGGTCCTTCATTTATGAAGTTCTCATTCTCCTATTCATGGAGAAGGTATTGTTATTCCCAACATCTAATATGTCTCATATGTTCTGTATGAATATTAACTCAGTAGCATTCGACTATGGCCGTTGGTCTTATGGAGCCTGCATGGATTTTGTCTCCCTCATCTGGGATCTGTTGACGAACTCCTAAGGGCGTTGGCCTTCGAGAGCAAATGAGTGGAGTCCTGTCGCTTTCAGATCTATCGACGAACTCCCCGAATTTGGCTGAACTTTGCATATATCTTCGGATTTACGACCAATTATCATTCGAGGCTTCATCCACATGAACAGATGGGAAGGGGAAAGAAATGAGGGGTAGACAGTTCCCATCGTAGTGAGATTTTTAACGGATAAGGGAAAAACAGAGGATGCTCATACTTCCGTCAAAGGAAGTGACTCTCTCCTAGCTGTTTTCCCACACTAGAAAAACGTTATTTTCCCATCAAAAGGAAAGAATATTTTTCTGTAAAGATTTTTACTTTCCTTTTAAATTATTATTTTAGACCCAGGGCTATTCGGATCTCACACTAATATAAATTTAAAATTTAAGATTAACCAGCCATTTAATTACATGAAAATTAAAAATAAACTATATACAGAAAAAAATAAATGTTTTTAACATTATTGATAAACAATTGTGCACTATTATCTCATCAGAAATATGAAAGATTTAATCCTAACAAACTTTTCTAATATGCCAAAAACTAATTAAAGATATTTAAAGGATATTTTAATGTTATAAGTTTAGTGCAATATGACATCTGTAATATCAAATTTTTGATATAGTTTCTCTGACATTCAATGGGTACGTTCGTAAAGTCGAATAAGTTAAACGAGAATGACGTCATCGTTATTCTTATTTCGTTAGACTTTTCAAATGATTCGTTTATAACTAAATGGCTGTTTCTAAAATCGAAGATATGAATGTTGCTAATACAGCCTTATCCAAAATATTTTTCTTAGATTGTTTCAGATGGACAGTTACTTCAATCATTTCACCTTTTAATTGACAATTTACTCACTCGATTTAGAAACATTGATATTGTCAGGTGCAATTTTCTTAACGAATAAACTAACTCTTTCCTTTGTGAACTTCATTAGAGTTTCGTTCTAAACATCACCACCACAGAGCATGCGCACTGAGCGAGACTACTACTTTTTGAACGATTTGTTACTAACATGTTTAACTCGTTTGACTTTACGAATGTACCCAATATAAGTCAGTTGTTGTTTTGGATAGTCCCTGAATTCCAATGAAATGACTTCTTTAGTATTAGTGTAGAACCATTCATGCACCATCTCATATGTCTCTTCACTGAAATGAAATTTCCATCTGCTTTTATCTTATTTCAGATATATATATAAGTGATAATGTAAGGTCTCAAGAGAATGGAGAATGCTAAAGAAACTCAAAACAAATTATTGTTTCTTCACTTCCAGCTTTATCTGCCTGGGTATCTACTTTTGGAAAAGACAGATGCTTTTCCATTTTGCAACAAGTCATGGATGATAGGATAAACTGAACTAATACTCATCTGCAAAATCTCAGTCATTTTCCTCAGTGTTGTGTTATTTTAGATGAATTTGTTCATATGTAGCCACAACTTCCTGGAATGTGACATCGTCTGGACTGTGCAGAGTTGGCCAAATCTGTTTTACTATTCTTGTATTTATAGCTCCATTAGTAGCAGCCTTATACATTTATTTTGTAACAAACTGATTATACTAGCTGAACATTAGCTTTTCTAACACACATGAATTTAGCTTAATATTCACTGATCATCATGCCAGTGCCATCTCAGAAGTGTTAAAAATATGTTCTGTAATTCTCATGTCATAATTTGTTGCAGTCGTGACACACTGACTTGTCATTTGTATGGTAGAAGGCAATATTTGCCAGTCATGGACAAAGAAGGTAATTTGAGTGACTTTGAGCTTGGACAGATCATTGGAGTCTGCAGGGTGATTGTCATTATTTCCAAAACAACTGCACTTGTTGATTATTCATGTACCATGACATCCGGAATGTAACACAAATGGATGGATCATGCACAAACATCCAGCAGATCACAGTGGTGGGGTCACATGTGACTGATCCCAGAGAAGTGATTGTTATAACTAGTATCTAAATAAAGACATGTCACAATAGAACAACTTACTCACCAGTACAACTGTGGACAAAGCAGACATGTTTCAATAATGATCATTTGACATACCTTGTGTCAATCAGGTTCAATAGTCATCATCCTGCATGGGCACCTCTGTTGGCCACACATCACCATAAACAATGCCTTGCATGGAAGAGGAAACGATGTCATTAAACCTTGGACATGTGCAAGAAGATTGTATGGAATGATAAGTCCCTTTTCTACTGAACATACTGATTGCTGGCTCCAAATCTGGCATAAACAGTATGAAGCTGCATTCTCTGGCTGCACAGTTGGAGTTCCACAAGCTAGTAGTGGTATCCTATAGTCTGAGAAGCATTCTCTTGGCAATGTCATTCATTGGTTGTCATCCCACAATTCTTGAATGGTGAATAATGCAGAGACCTGTTAGGTGATCATATGTACCTGTATCTCAAGGCGATATTATCTGACAATGATACCATGTTTCAACATGATAATGCACCATATCACTGGGGGATGGTTGGAGGAACATGACAATGATTTCCACACACTGCAAAAGCTTCCAAACTCACCAGACTGCAACCATATTGAACATGATTTGAATATGCTGGAAGGTGTGACAAGGTCATTCATTACTCCATGAAATGTACACCAATTGACAAAATTGCTCAAACAGGAATGAGTCCAGTTAAGAATAGAGGATGTTTGGCATCTGGAAGAGTCTATGCCTTGGCATTTGCAAATTGTGATCAATGTGGACCAACCTATTGTTAGGCAGGTGTTCCTAATGTACTGATTGCTCAGTGTGTAATATAACCATATTTTTTAATATACAGGATGATTCAAAATGAATGGGACAAAAAGACTAGCAGTGTACAATTTCTGTAATGGATTTATTTAGCAAATGTAAATATATCATAAAAGTATAACTATAGAAGTTTTATCTTTCAACAACAAAAATTCTTCTATGTACCAAATCGTCACCAGAAGCACTGTTATTCCAAATGGTAACCTCCCTGCAAGAGAAAGCTTATTGTGTGTTAGAATATGCAAAAACTTCATTGCATCACCTATCATTGTTATGAGACATTTTCAGATAAAATTTGGTGAAAAACTTCCTTGTCATCATAACATAAGGTTGGTGAAGCAGTTTGAGGAGACAGGATGCTTATGCAAGGAAAAAAGCACAGAACAAACACTGGTCAAAAACGAAATGTGAAATGGAAAAGATTCATGAAATGTTTTCATTTACACAATAAGCTTTCTCTTGCAGAGAGATCACCATTTGGAATAACAGTGCCTCTGGTGACGATTTCATACATAGAAGAATTTTTGTTGTTGCAAGATAAAACTTCTATACTTATACTTTTATGATATACAGTAATACCCTGAACTTAGCGATAGGTGGGACCGAGCGATGACCGCGTAAGTCGAATTCGCGTAAGTCTGGGTATAATTTCACAATTTGTGTAAAATCCAAGTGGGATGTATGTAAGCTAATAAATGTTCTTGTTAATCTTATCTCGTCTTTTGATTCATTCATGGTTACAAGAAATCACCACATAGAGTCTCTCAAGTCTCCGTAGATATAACAAACACAGAAATAAATAACACAAAATAAATTGTAGCTATGTGTCAATTCTTCACGACACGTCCGAACATGTAAGCTGAACAATAGTGTGGGAGGAGTGAGTAATCAAGAGTTGCGTTGCACTCAAACAAAAGACGAATCGACAAGATTTGAAAATCGCGTAACTCTGGGTTTGCATAAGTCTGGGAGCGTAAGTCGAGGTATTACCGTATTTACATTTGCTAAATAAATCCATTACATATATTGCACACTGCTCCTCTTTTGTCCAATTCATTTTGAATCACACTGTATATTAAAAAAATGGTCCAAAGTCCAATAAAATCTACACATCATGCCAGTGCAGAACAGAATATGCCCCAAACAACAGTGTGGTACATGTTATGCAAGTGTCTACCATTCAAATTTCAGATGATACAGGTTTTAAAAAGTACCGAGAAACTGTTGTGTAGAGCATTCTCCAAGCAAAGCTATAAGTTGATGGTTTCGCCAACAGACTGGTGTTTACAGATGAAGCCACCTTTTACTTATGTGGCAAAGTTAACTGCCATAATTTACACTTTTGAGGCTCAGATAATCAGCATTTGACACTGTCACATGAACGGTATTCTCCAAAGGTAAACATTTCCTGCAGCATAACCAACAGCTGTGTGTTTGGGNTATACAACCTTTATCAATAACAGTCTATCTATTATTATAAAACAATAAAAAGCTTAATTTTTAAAGTAGGATGAGTTTTATAAAAAACTGTAAATGCTAATAATGAGGAAAATTGTCATTAAGTCCAACTATACTCGGGGTATGACACATGACCCTCTCTATCACCCCCTCAAAATTTAACAGCATCAATCCCCCTAATACACAGACTTCTATGTAAAATTTCAGAAATTTCAACAAAAGACACAGGAGTTGTATGTTCCTTGGAACTTAGCATAAAGTTGCTATTAAGAACAAATCATACAGGAACACTCCTTTTGATGGAAAAAATAGATTTTAATTTTCCATAATTTATAACAGATATGCATTCCAGGCTTTACTTTTCCTCCAGTACATATAACAGAGCCATGAAAGTAAAAATTGCATTCACTTAATCTAAAACAGTTCAAAGTTTGTCTTCAGAAAAAATTTGACTTCTCTGTCACAATTTTTTTCAGGGTGTTTACAGATGAAGCCACCTTTTACTTATGTGGCAAAGTTAACTGCCATAATTTACACTTTTGAGGCTCAGATAATCAGCATTTGACACTGTCACATGAACGGTATTCTCCAAAGGTAAACATTTCCTGCAGCATAACCAACAGCTGTGTGTTTGGGCCTTTTTTCTTTGTGGAAAAAACGATTATGGGTTTTGCCTACTGAGGCATGCTCTCTAAGTGGTTATTGCCTCAGTCAGATGAAATGGTTCCTGACTTCATTCTGCAGCAAGACGGTGGGTGGTCCACCACATTGGCGTAAATACGTATGTAATTACCTCAACGAGACTCTACCCCATTGTTGGATTGGCCACGCTGGGACAAATGACGTACCATTCATTTTTTGACTGCCCAGATCACCAGATCTAACACCGTGTGATTTTTTCCTCTGGAGGTTTGTGAAAAACAAAGTGTTTGTGCCCCCACTTCCTCAGGACTTACAGCAATTGAAAGAGCGGATAAGTGATGTGTTGGGCTCAATAACACAGGATATTCTGTCACAAGTGTGGCAGGAATTGGATTAATGCATTGACATTCGCCATGTAACAGGAGGGGCTCACATTGAACATCTCTAGAAATTTGGATAGTGTATTTTCTCGGAAAAATTTGTATTAACAAAATAAATCCATTATAACAGTCATAGGTGTACATTCTTTTTGTTCCATTCATTTTAAATCATCCTGTAGAATACTACCCCTAAGTCATTTTATTATACAAGTTTAAGAAATACAATCTACATACTTTTACTAGTCTCTTCAGATGCAGTTACCATTGCAATAAATTTTGAATATTTTGCCAAACAAGTTCCATTTGCAAATCCTATTCTTTTATTTTCTCTGTCAAATACTATATAAAATCCTTTAAGAACAGCAGCACCAATAACAGTTCCTGAAAATAAAAATAAAAAGAAAAGTTTAAAAGAAAAATCTGTAACCAAACAATCTAAAGAAAGCTTGCTAAGGTTCTAAATGAAATAAGAAAAAATTTATTTTTTAATTAATTTTAGAAATTACCATATATTTACTTCATTTTAATCAAGTACTACTTAATCAAAGATATGGATTCAACAGTCAAAAATTAACACACATACACACAAATAACAAGTTTTTAAATTTTACTTATCCTGGTTTTATGTGACATACAAAACCACCACAAAATAATGGATGAATTACATGGTAGAATCAAAAACTAAACCAAAATTTTGACAATAAACAAAATCACAGAAAATGCAAAACACTACCTTTAAAGCAAACACTTCCACTTACCAAATATAGCAAAAATCATTGCAAAGTCTTTAAAAACTTTCATTGTTACAGTTCTGTACTTCCATAAATTCACACGTTCAGACTTTTATCTGCTCTCTAAAGTGAAAGAGAACATAAAAGGATCACAGATTCTAATTATCAGTAGATATGGAAGCTGCAGCAATGAAAACTTTTAAAGACATCACAAAAATTGGTTCCAAGACTGTTTTGAAAAGCAGTATGAATGCTGGGAGAAATGCATAGCTGCAGAAAAAGCTTACTTTAAAGATAGTATTATTAAAGTTCTACAAGTTAAAAACATGAGCTAAGAATTTGATTTATTTTTGATGTACCTTATAAATTAAATTTTATTGTAACAAACTAGCTGCAAGGGCCCGCTTCACTGGGTTTTTATTTGTATATAATATAGTTTTTTTTATATATATAAAAGACTGTTTTTCTAAGTAATCTAGAATCTAGCTGCAAGGACCCTCTTCGCTGGGCAAAAAGTTGCAGCATAACCAACAGCTGTGTGTTTGGGCCTTTTTTCTTTGTGGAAAAAACGATTATGGGTTTTGCCTACTGAGGCATGCTCTCTAAGTGGTTATNGCCTTCTCATCACTAAGTTTTAAAATTTATGTAACATTATAGATTTAATAAAACTGTTTATATTCAGCCATTCAATTACTGAAAGTTTTAAATTTTTGATTTGTTAAGTTACAAAAACAAAAAATTACAAATACATTTTTGTTTTATTCATGTAACAGTTCTAAGTGATGTATAAATTCTGAAAAATACAAAATTTAAAAATTCATCAGAATTACAAATACAATTCTTGAAATTTTTGTTCTATCTTTAAAAGAAAAATTTTTTCAATATAAAAATGCTATTGATTTTTATGTAAGAATGATTATATTTACATACTATGTATTTATGAAATCAAGAATCAAGTAAATTTTAATACTAGACTGTTATTTTAGCAACCTGTTAGTGTTGTTTTGCCAAACTTATCTTGACTTTGATATATTATAACACTCTTCTTTTATTCTTTTTATGTACCTTTAACAAAACTCATTTTGGACTTTATTATTTCCCTTCAGTTTTTTTACAGTTGTTAACATTAAAACTGTACAAAACTAAGGTACAAATAAATATCAGCTGATTTTTTAACAATTACAATTATGCCATTAAAGCACGTACATTAAGATATTACTTACTTTCGATGTACATTCCAAATTGTTAATTACATATTTATAATACAAAACTTCATAAAATTAACATTATTAAAATCAGTAAAACACAAACCATGAAACCAGAAATGCATACTTAAAATTATGAATAAAGCACAGTGTGGAACTTATATCTCGCTCTTACAGAGTACAGTAATACCCCAACTTACGCTACCCTGACTTACGTGAACCCAGAGTTACGCGATTTTCAAATATCGTCGATTCATCGATATGTCTTTTGTTTGAACACCACGCAACTCTCGATTAATCACTCCCCCACACTATTGTTCGGCTTACATGTTTGGACGTGTCGTGCGGAATCGACGTATAGCTACAATTTATTTTGCGTTATTTATTTCTGTGTTTGTTATATCTACGGAGACTTGAGAGACTCTATGTGGTGATTTCTTGTAACCGTGAATGAATCAAAAGACGAGATAAGATTAACGAGAACATTTATTAGCTTACATACATCCGACTTGGATTTTACACAAATTGTGAAATTATACCCCGACTGACGCGGTTATCGCTCGGTCCCACCTATCGTGTAAGTTTGGGGTATTACTGTACTTAAACTCAATAGTAGGTCTCCCTGCCAGCTAAAAATTTATACCAAGACATGTGCAGTTGCATGCCTACACTATTATTGATTTTAATTTTGCATTTTAATTTCATTATTTTTAAATGCTCATAAATTTTTCTATTAAAGTTATTAAGGTCCTTTTTAATTACTTTTATTGTATTTTTTTAAAATTTTACATTTTTGGTTATTACAGTGGCAGGCAACAGCAGATGTGTGACTATTGTTTTTAATTGCTGCAATATGCTCTCTAAATCTAGTTTCCTGCCCGTTTCCCCTATGTATATATTATTTTTCATACAACTACTTTGAATCTGTAAACTACATTTTTAGTATCCTAGATGTTTTGTTCTATTTTTTGATCATTATGATTTATATGTGTTTTATTATTATTTATTTGTTAAGGTGTTGCTATATTATAATTTTATAATAATACTAGCTGCAAGGACCCGCTTCGCTGGGTTTTTTTTGTATGTAATATAGTTTTTTTTAATATATAAAAGACTGTTTTTCTAAGTAATCTAGAATCTAGCAGCAAGGACCCGCTTCGCTGGGCAAAAAGTAACGATAGTGAAGATTAAGATAATTACATTATAGCCAATCTTACCCGTTTTCACAAAATGCAAGAATTAGGTCCCCCGTTTCCAGACTAATTAGAGAA